ATTATTTCATTCTCATTTCCTCTTACAAAATCATTTTAAAAATCATATTAGTGACTTCCTTAATTGTGTATGAATTTATTTATTAATTTCTTAATTCATTAATTTCTTTTTTTCGCATCATAATCGCTGTTTTATTAATTTTTTTGTATTTAATAATACTTTTGTAATACTTGAGAAGTTGTGCTTATAAAACCTGACTTAAAGAACGGAGGAAGAAAGAAAGAAAGAAAGAAAGAAAGAAAGAAAGAAAGAAAGAAAGAAAGAAAGAAAGAAAGAAAGAAAGAAAGAAAGAAAGAAAGAAAGAAAGAAAAACAAAAATAAAGGAAAAGCAAAGGAAAAAACGAAAAATAAATCTAAGAAAAAATAAGAAAAAAACGAAAAATAATAAAGAAAGAAAGAAAAGAAAGAAAGAAAGAAAGAAAGAAAGAAAGAAAGAAAGAAAAGAAAGAACGTGATGCTAGTATTCCGTAAGAGAGGAGTGTTATATCTAGTGTGATTCCAGCTGTAATTCTTTTAGCATTTCATCATATCGCAGACTGCCAGTGATTTTATTTTATCCTATTTTAATTAGTTATTATATTGATTTTTCGTTGTAAACTGCTATTTTAAATACAGCGGCTAAAATCGGGATTATAGCGCCATAAACAGCCTAATATTGGTGGACCGCCTCAAATCATGAGTAATTGTAGAATTTATATTATTAAATCGTATATTTAACTGAGGAATTGTGTGAAAATGTCATAATCTATTTATTCTGAGGTTAACAAGTGTTGCTTCCAAATAATAAAGACAAGATGCGTGCGTTTCTAACCAATAAACGGGTTTAGTTTGAGATATTTAAGACATCAAATTAAATTAATTACTTTAAATTAATTTGCGCCTTAAATTCTATAACAATTTAATTAGACCGTCACTCATATTTAGGATAAGGCTAAAGAGTTGGGCATCTCGATTACTATGCATTTTAATTTAAAAGCGCTTACAAATATCGGCATTTATGATTTCATTAAAAATGTTCAACATACATTCTAAAGTTGTCGTAGCCTATAATTAAATTACACTTAAATTACATTTATTAACTCAACGGTTGGGTTTCTCCATAATTAACCCAACACTGTATTACAACACAGAATTTTATTTTAAAATGGTTATATGTATTAATTTATTAAACGCGTCAATCAAAGCACAAAAATAGTTTTTAAAAATCAAACAAAAATGAACAGTTTTATTAAATGAGAACAGATCTTGAAAAGCCCCCAGGGGACTTTATTTTTATGAATGAGACCTAAATCAGTGCAGTCTAAGTAATAACTGTGAGTTGTTTTTCAACCGTTAAGTTAAAAGTGATTTAAATTACATTTAAAAAACGAACTCAACGGTTTGATTTGTTCAAATATGTTCCAACCGTTGGGATATTTTTTAAATTTGAATTTAAATTGACACTTTTTTAACGGTTAAATTTGTCTACTTTGGTTTGTCTATATGTATTTGACTGTTTAACAATTGACACGGGGCACTTTCAGGTTCATTAAGCTGTCACATTCTAAAAAAATGCTGGGTTTTTATAATTGGGTCAAACAGACAAACCAAACATTCGGGTTAAAATGTTGAAAAACTATAGGTCACACTTCATAATAACATTTCATTAGTTAATGAATATAATAACATGAACTAAAAATGAACGGTACTGCGTGTATCAATCATAATTCAACATATACTAATACAAAATGAGTAAGCATGAAGTAACAATTAACAACTTTAAAAACTAACATTAATAAAGGTGAATATACACAAACAATGTGCAACACTTTTAATATACAGTTAGTTAATACATAAACTAATACGACCTTATTTTAAAGAGTTACCAAAACATTTCTATATATAACCCACGCCAAAATATTGAGTTACAACAAGCCGACAACAGTGTGTGTGTAATATGTGTGTACCTGTGGAGTAGGGCGCAGGCTGGTGCTCCCGGAGCGCGCCCAGAGTGCAGCTGGCGGTGGCGAGCGGAGCGCAGGCCGGGCCGGAGCTGAAGCCGGAGCGGATCGGGTTGTACTGGAAGCCGTTGCTCTGGCTGCAGGAGTTAAAGTCCGCGTACGCGCTCGCCTCCATCGCCGCCATGCACGAGTCATACGTGTTCAGATACGAGTAATCCATTTTGTACATGTGGACGGACGGGCGGCTGTGCGAGTGTCAGGTCCCGGTGTCCGGTGCTCTGAGCGCCGGGCGGCTCGCGGTGTGTGTTTATAATAAAGTTGGTGTCCGGGAGACAATGGCGAGGCGGTGGTCTCTGTTTGCATGACAATGTCTCAGTGCTGCGCCTCCTCCCCTCCGCTCCTGCACGCATCTCTAATGCACCTCCGCTTTAACCCTTTCCTCCACCCTCAGCTGCAGCTCCATCAGCCAAAACTCAATCATGCATGCCTCAGATGTAAGAACAAACCCCACCACGGGCTTAAAAAGAGCAGTTTAATTCCAATTTCAAGATTAAATAACTAAATAAATCATCATTTGGGGTTTGCATGTTTGTCTCAAAGGTGGTTTACATTTAATTAAACTGAAAATAATAGAATAATAAACTCAAAATTGAGGTTTGTTCTCATTTGACCCAACGTTGGGTTAAAAATGTCATTTAAATTAGATTTTAAATAAAACTACAAGATTGGGATTTGTCCATATTTGACCCAACGTTGGATGTAAAAAGCGCAATTGATAATTAAATTTAATTAAAATAAACCCAACATTGGGTTTGTCCATATTTGACTCAAGGTTGGGTTAAAAAGCGTCATCTAAATTAAATAAAAAAAGGGATTTGTCAATATTTGACTCAACATTAAGTTAAAAAGCATAAATCAAACAGAACTGAAACAAAAGAAACCCAACATTGGGGTTTGTCCATATCTGACCCAACGTTGGGTTAAAGCAAGCATTTATCAGAGTGCATCCTCATCAGAACTTCACAGTACAGTGTTTACTGGCGTGCACTGATCTCTCTCTCTCTCTCTCATGCGCGTGCACGTGTAAGTATAATTGTAAATAAATGACTATTAATGGCTATTAAGACTGATGTCATTATCATATCACGCGCACTAAATGGCTGCATTCGAGCTCAGGCTAAATGAATTGCGGGATTGCTTCAGCTTTTAAGTGGCTCTGGTGTTAAAGTTTAATTTCATCATAGAAGCAGCGAAAGCCCTGGAGTTTCCAGAACACATACATGACCGCGCCATAAAATAAAGGAAGAGCTGGTCATTAAAGTCGACTTTAACTGCGATGCTTTATTCGATCCTTCATCCGAAATGACGGAGACCTGCTGCTGACGATCACACACACATCTGCTCGCTGTCCGACCCCATTACACCTCACAGTCGGTTACATGATGGGCTGTTGTAGCTCAGTGTTGGGTCAAATATAGCTATAGGCAAAACCCATCTGTAGGGTTAAAAAGGCTCATTTATTATTTTTTTTTAATTGAAAAAAACAATTACCGAATGTCATGTCCATATTTGACTCAACTACAACCCAGCATTTTTATAATGTATGTGGTAAATCTGAATACGCACGCTTTTAAAACACAATTACGCGTCGTTTCCCTGCAATACATTCACATATGTGTATCATTGTTCACTATATATATATATATATATATATATATATATATATATATATATATATATATATATATATCCATATTCATGCAATTAAGTGGCAGTAGATTTCATGTTTTAACTCAATTAAGCCTACATAAAATTATACATGACATTAGACATGACACATGAGAATCAGAAGCAGAAAAAGGTTCCAAAATGTGATATTTAACTATGTTTATGACATTTAAATACATTAATGTGTATTTATTACTCATATAGCCTATTTCAATCTATGTGACATCTGTATAGGTTGCACGATTTATTATATATATATATATATATATATATATATATATATATATATATATATATATATATAATTGATGTTTATTTTAAACGTGGAATGATCAGAATTAAATATTCAACATCGAAACATGTTGTTTTTTTGCGCATATAAAAAACCACATTCAAATATTTTTCATGTATAATCTTTAAATATATGTGGTGTTTCTGTCGGCATGTGTGTGTGATAGTGCAGCGCGGTGTCCTCTTGACTCCTGCCCGTCTCCGGTGTCTCTGCGCCGGTAATCAGCGGGAGCGCGGACGCCTAACCAGTTTATCTCGGCGCGGCGCGTCACGGCACATTTGGCTGATTGTGGTTGAGCTGGAGCGCCTTTCAGACTCCATATATTATATAAAGCACATAAACAGCGCAGTGTGAAGCCTTTCAGCACGTGTGGATCTCCGTGAACACCTGAGAAGAGCTGCGGAGTCACCTGCGCGCATGACGGACGGACACTAGATGCGTGTTCTAGCGCTCACATCACTACTGAATAGTAAAGATATTGTTTGCTATTTTAATATACGTAGATTAAGAAAAAACACTCTCATCTATAGGTCTATATTATTTTCAGCATTTGTGGTTGCATAAAGAAACTATAAAATGTAATTTTTCATAGCACAACATTAAGTGTTTTTTTAAGATTACTAAAATGCTCTTCACAAATAAAATCAATTATAAACATTTTATGTAGGGGGGCCAAAAATGCTTCGAGTTAGCTACTTTTTTTATGAAATTGGCCTACACAAAAGCGCATTATAGTCTAATAACATTTTATTATTTATAACAAACATTAACGAATAAATTATAATGACTCAATTTAGCTTTATTTTTCTAAGTTTATGCAATACCTACAAGATAAAATATAATATATTAATTTACAGAAGTGTTTTTGAACCAAATGTATTACAGCCGACTCTATTATTTTATTTACAACTTTTTTAAACGAATGCTCAACTACTGAGATGATATCTGTATAAATAATGCAGTAGGCTACACCACTTCAGTAGCTAAACTGTAGTGTACTGTAGATTATATTATGCCATACAGTAATGGATCATTTGTCTAAATTAATATAGTTATGTTACTATAGCAACTGTAAAATCGCCTCACCAGATTAATTCTACACCAAAAAAAAAAGTGTTTTCGCTAGAAGGGATACAGCTGCGGCCGGTAATTGACGAGAATTATATTCTTTAATAAATATACCCATTATTTAACCCATTAAATAACCTATAATTTCTATTAACGTCTACCCAAAACCACAACCCTCACACTAATGTAAAACAGTATACTGAGTATTATTAATATTTATCAATTCTCCATTAATTGTATTTATTAATGTTTAACGCTACCCCAACCCTAAACTCAACCCTCATACTAATGCAAATCAGTAATTATACCGAGTATTATTCATATTATATATTAAATTCTTTATTAATTGTATTTATTTATGTCTATCCATATATCCCAACCCTAAACTCAACCCTAATAAATCAGTATTTATACCGAATATTAATATTATTTATTATATTCTCATATTTATTAATGTCTATCCTTATATCCCAACCCTAAACTCAACCCTCATACTAATGTAAATCAGTATTTATACCGAGTAGCCTATTATTCATATTTTATATTAAATTCTTTATTAATTGTATTTGATAATGTCTGGCTATATCCCAACCGTAAACTGAACCCAGTATTTATACCGAGTATTATTGTTTATTAAATTCTTAATTAATTGTATTTATTAATGTCTATCCTTATATCCCATCCCTAAACTCACCCCTAATACTATTGTAAATCAGTATTTATACCGAGTATTATTCATATGATCAATTCATTGTATTTGATTAACGTCTACCGCAAGCCTAAACCCAACCATCACAGCACCCAGCAAGCATTTTTTCTTTATAAAAGATGCCTGATAGATGTCTAATAGACGTCTAAACATAGCAATCTTGGCTAAAACAAGAAACTTGGGCTGTCAGGCAAAATCTAATAGACGTCTATTAGGCTCGAACTAGATATTCATCAAATAAACAGACGACACAAATGTCTAATATGTCTATTTGACGACTAGTCTAGTTTTGGCCTATTCTTAGATGTCTATTAGATTTTCACTGACAGCCCAAGTCTAGCTTTTGTTTTAGCCAAGCTGTGTACGTTTAGATGTTTATTAAACACAAAATTGTTTTCTGGGTAATGTAATAATAATATTAATTATTGTTGTACAATGTCACAAATATTACACTATATTAAAGCAAGTATCCATCTAGATATCACCAAAAATGCTGTGTTGTCGTAACCCAACATTGTTTTAATGTTTTCAATCGAATTTAAATGACACTTTTGGACCCGGCGTCTGGGTTTGTCTATATTTGGCACAACAAGTAGGCTAGCTCCCTAATGGTTCAAAAGCAGGCTTATAGTAAACAAAACTGCATCACTATAACGCAATTATATTAAGTTAATAACGCATTTATTTATAATTATTCGTTAATAATTTAAGAATTAGCCAACACTTGTGTCAAATAGCTATCATCTGCTGTCAGAATGACAGGATATTTATTAAAACCATACTCGCGGCAGCATTTTTGTTTTCATGTCAAACAACCTTTTTCAGTACTGGGTTACGGCTGGAAAGCCATCCGCTGCGTAAAACATATATTCCAGAGAAGTTGGCGGTTCATTCCGCTGTGGGAAAATTAGTGAATGAATATCAAACAGCCTACATAGGATGGAATTTAAATTCTCTCAAACCGCTAAAACGACTGTTCTCAGAATATCCTTCGACACACTGTTAGTTAAACATTCTATTGGCCTGTAATTATTTTGAACGGCATTCGGCGGGTTTCAGGCGGGTCATCGGAGCCACGCACGCGCCTCATCCGCGCTCCCGGTGCCGGCTGAGCTCCATCAATCTCTCCGGTCATTAGCTCAATCTGCATTCAGCAGTGATCGGTCACCGGCTCGCTTTAATGGCCCGACCATCGGATGCGATTACTGTCAGCCAACCCAAACCAACCCAACACACAATTCAATTAGGCCAGCAGAGCACGAGACCCTCCGCTTCACATTTATTTATTTCTCCATCCAGCGCTCTGCTAGAGAAAAAAAAAACCAAACATCCTTTTTATGATGGCGAAGCAAAATATGAGTGTTTTAGGACAGCAGGAGAAATTAATGGAGCCACTCAGACTGTAAGTGCACTGGTTAGTGTAACTATCGATCAACAGCAGCGTGCCAGCATCCATCCAAAAATGAGAAACACACACACACATAGAGAGAGAGCTGTCAATCACAGCTGTCAATCACAGCGCGTCTCTCTCGGACCCCCGGCCGCTGCTATTTACACAAGCGCCATGAATTAAAAAGAGCCTCGTTACTGTTTCCGTGAGTCGCCAATGAATAGTCAAAGTGCTCGGGTCGGGATTAGAGCGCATTTCCAGCACAAACACCGCGCCTTTGAGGAGATTAGCGGCCGTGTGTGTGTGTGTGTGTGTGTGTGCAGGTTTACTTCTCCAGCAAACTCACCCCTGACACCAGCAGAAGCTCTCTGTG